TGTAACTCAAAAGTGTTACAATGCAATATCACAGGGACTGCAATGGATGATGTTTTCGTGAGAGCATCTTTAGCAAATGCTGAAATTTAAAGGTGTGCTTTAAGTACTTGTTTAGCAGAAAGCGCAAAGCCAAAAGCCTCCTACCATTTGGTATGCCACTTCGTCGAGGAGATTTTACTCATCATGGTAAATCCATCCAAAAATTACTAAGTCTAGTGTCAGTCTCAGATTTGATATCTTTATATGACATGCCTTTACAATGATCTAGTGGAATATTTTTACCAAATGTATTAGAAAAGAGAAATCATCAAACACATTAAACTGTTTACTAGATCAGTTGTGTACCTTCAGACGTCTAGCAAGTTCACTAGCATGCAGCACATTGGCAAGCTTTGATTGACCATAGGCAGACAGCCCATTATACCTGAGGATCATTCATCCGCATAAGACAAAGCCCTGGTCTCAACTTTTCTAGACATAATCATAGTTCATCTATTTTTGAAAACACCATAATATGTACTTCCTATGACTGCAAATAATTGATCAACTCCTTTGGCTAAAACATTTTTGTCCTCCATCACCAAGAACTTTTATCCAAAAATTTTAAATTTGTGTAGGGAATAAATATTTTGCAGTAGTCATTGGAAATGGCATCCCTATAATGTTTCTTCATTCGATGTGGTCGGTGATAACACAACAAGGAAATCAGGGCCTGTTTCTAACAGATGCTCAGTCCCTATAAGAGAAAGATTGGGAGAAACGGCAAAAACAAATTTCTATCACTTTAGTTCTTTACAGATACTCTAATCCAACTAATCAAATTTTTGGGGAGAAAATTAAAGACTCAACAATTAAAGAATTAGCACATGAAAGATATGTATGACTGTAGCATGTTCACCCTAATTGATCATTGATTTTGTCAAACCGAATCCCTTCATGGTACGAAAATTTGTGGCGTCGTGAGGAGACATTAACAATCCTCCCTTCTTTTCTGCTATGAGTAGCCGTTCTTTTCATGGTCTCCAGCAATAGATTTGTCAAAAGAAAGTGGCCTGCAAATAAATATACCCGTGAAATCACCCTCAAGAGTGATTAAATTTGATTTTAGTATCACCAAAAATATAATGTAAATACAAGATGTCATTATGTTATGCAGAAATCTACGAATACAGAACCATGCTTAGCGAAGGAGTATGGCATTAAAACAATTAGCATCCAACACTACAAATGCCCACTAGGGTGCCTGCTTTAAATGATATTAAACTAGAAAAGATGTCATAAAGTTATGCAAAAATCTAAGAACACACATCATCGCAAACGAAGGACATGAGCACGACAAGGGAGTATTAATGTAAACATAAACCGAGTGAATTTTGGCTGTAAAGACCAGGTGATCATCCAAACTTAAGCAAACCAAGAATTGGCCATCACATACAGTATAACAAGCAGTAGATTATTAGATGATAGACACTTAGCCAAAACACTTGACCTCATCACTCCAGTGTTAAGGCCCAAAGACTGGAGATTCATGTTACCCTGTATTAACCATATTGCCTCCATAGAAAATACCCAGTCCTTCTATTCTCATTTTCCTTGACTAGTTCATTTCAGTGTTTAATAGGAAATATGTTGCATCTTACCAACATGGTTTGTTGAAAATTGCAGCTCAATCTTATCCTTGGAAAGTGTGAATGGGGTTGCCATGATACCTGCATTGTTACTTTGCCACAGCATTACAATGATCTAGTTATTTCCATGTTCAAAGGTCTGTTTATAAGCAAGTTAAAGCACAAGTACTCATGAATATGAATGCAAGTTTTGTTCACCCTAATGGTGGTGGGAGGAGGGTTTAACAAGATAATATCATCTGAATCTTATTTACCAGCACAATGAGCTTGGCTATATCAGCAACCAAGTACGGATGGCCTTGGATTCAATCTGTCACCCTTTTTAGTTGTATAAAGTTAAAAGGAATATGCAGCCATAATTACTTGAACTATGGTGCTTTCTCGAGCGAAGAAATAATAATCAGGGGTTGTTTTAATAGGATTGAGAATTGATCTTTGAAATTAGCATGAATGATTACTTTAAGCTTCTAATTTTCAAGAATCGACCCATTAATTTTGTGAATTTCCTAGTAACTTCACATTACTTGGTAATATAAATTGCTAACCTTTAGAAACTGCATGTTGATTTTGTATTGTCTGAGTCGATTGATTGGAAAATGAAACGGTGATCTCCGTTTATATTGAAACATTGAAACATAAAACTTATCTTATGTACTGCAGAGAAGAAAACCCCCTGAGATTAACCAAATAAGTCCAATATGTCACATTCAAATATGGAATATTACAGTTCACTGGAGATGCTTCTTTTGATGAAGATTGACTCACCTATTCAATTTAGTGATAAAGTCTAGTGATTTTGACTTAAAACTTGTATAGAATACAATTTGGAGTTTAATGTATTAAGTAATCTCATTTTTACATTTTTTAATCATTCAAGACATTCTATTTCAACCTTTAGATTAAGTTACCAAAGCATGCTGTGTTTGGAAACTAACACATAACAATGGTCAGCTTCCCTTGATGTTCTTTTAACTTCTTATTTTCTCTTGTTTCTACCCTTACATACATACATCCATACTTATATGCCCGGGCCACCACACATTTAATGAGAACTTAGGGTAGAAATGCGCATAAGACTCACAGCAGATATACATACTTTCTAATATTACAGAATTCTGTCTTTTGGAGACATTAAATTAAGCACGGTGCTTTAACTTTCTCAACATCAGTAGTTAACATACTTCCATCTTTACGAATTACTACGTCCTCCTAGTTGAAACTAATGAAGCGGTCATAAGTATGTTAGTTCGCCTGAAGTACGCCTAACACAGTTTACTAAATTCAAATCAAGAAAAGAAAGCACAAATAGGAATACTTGAAATTGCTCTGCTATGAATTTATGCCGGAGAGTATAGAAAGTAACTAAAACAAGAGAAAGTCTACACTTATCCATTTCCGTCTTACATAAGCAGGTTTAGAGGAAGGCCGAAGGAATTGTAAGTTGATGCAAAATTCCTCACTGATGCAAGTGAACTAAGATCCAACTCCATGGCATCGATTTTAGCTTGTGGAACATCTCTAATTATTGCCTCTTTAACTTGTTTTCCAGCAGAGATATTCCTGACCCCCATAATTACATGCACACCTCGCAATGCAAGAACACGTGCAGTTTCAGCACCAATTCCACTTGATGCTCCTGTTAACCTCAACAGAAATATAAGCATGTACTTTGATAGCAAGTATCCACAAAGATAAAGAGAGCATTTAGTGACAGATTATTACCACTTTTCAGATACTACAACCACAACAACTATTGCATCTCAACTCCAGACTAGTTCGAGTCAGCTTAAGAATCCTCTATACACATTCTGCTCTATTTGGGTTTGTTTCGTTCCAAATACACTATCATATGAAATTCATGCAAATTTACACAACGTTAATTTTTT